GCTCAGTGGTAGAGTACTTGCCTAGCAAGTAAGTGCAAGACCCTGGGTTCGGTCCTAGTGGTGGGGGTGTGGGGGTGTGGGGGGTGTGGGGGTGTGGGGGTGGGGGATGGGGAATGGGGGGGAGGGGGGAGTAGATTTTTTATAAAAATTTTACAAGGTCAGGGAGATTAATGGACTTGTCTGTTGCTCTGATTGGTCAGTAAATAAAACACTGATTGGCCAGTGGCTAGGCAGGAAGTATAGGCGGGACTAACAGAGAGGAGAAAAGAAAGAACAGGAAGGCAGAAGGAGTCACTGCCAGCCACTGCCAGGACAAGCAGCATGTGAAGATGCCGGTAAGCCACGAGCCACGTGGCAAGGTATAGATTTGTGGAAATGGATTAATTTAAGCTATAAGAACAGTTAGCAAGAAGCCTGCCACGGCCATACAGTTTGTAAGCAATACAAGTCTCTGTGTTTACTTGGTCGGGTCTGACAGCTGTGGGACTGGTGGGTGACAAAGATTTGTCCTGACTGTGGGCCAGGCAGGAAAACTCTAGCTACACTTGTCGACCCTTCGTTAGAAAATCATTTCTCACTATTGACCGTGCCTTGCTTTTCCATGACTTCTGGGGATTTGAACTCGGGTCCTCACGTTCGTGCAGCAAGCCCTCTCATCTGCTGTGCCAGCTTACCTGCCCTCATAAAGCCAACTCTAAACCTTCCGTTAGGATATATTGCACAGGGGACCCTGAGGGTATCCCGCGTGTGCAGGAAACATGCCGGCATGGCATGCTGAACAGACGCAGCGGCGGGCTGGCGGGTGACTCAAGCCATGCGAGTCTGGGGAGGGAAGAGTCATTCACGACCCAGACGCTGCATCCGTGCGGAAATGGTTTATTATAAGAGAGAGGCGAAGAGAGAGATAGGAAGGAGAAGAGAGAGGAAGAGAAAGGGGTCGAGGGTGCACACCTCATGGGAGGAAAAGCAGAAGAGAGAGAGAGAGGAAGGGGAGGAGTTCTTCCTTAAAATGAAGCTTTTCCATCAGGACACAGGGAGGTACCAAGGGGCGGGTCACAATATTAACAACTTTATATGTATATAATTCTATGTAATACTTATGTTTTACACATATACATACTTATGCTATATATATATATATTCATATGAATGAATGAGAACCATATATGTAGCTCCTTCATGGATATACCCATGGTCATATCCAGAGAACATATTGGAACTTCTACAACACTTTCAATAGCTTACTTTCCAATTAACTTTCCTCTTTAAGATGCACAGCCTTCTTCTCAAAGTAAAAGATCCCTGATCAGAGACTGATGCTAGATTAAATAAAGCTCTTCTCTGGTTTCAATTCCACTAATTTGACATTTGGATTATAGGGTGTGTGTGTGTGTGTGTGTGTGTGTGTGTGTGTGTGTGTGTGTGTGTGTGTATCTGTCCTTCAGTGTGCTGAGCTTAAAACCCAAGACTTCTTACAAGCTACGCAAATGATCTTCCACTGATCCACATCTTGAGCCTCAAATGGACTCCACATCAGGACCTTTGTTCCATCTGCCTGTATTTACATTTGGTACATGATAAGAAACAATCCTACCCTCCTTGAGAAAACAAACAGGTAGTCCATGAAAGGGTCTAATAAAACTCCCGGAAGTCTCCTACTCCTCCAAACTCCACTCCCTTCTCTGTTTAACTTAGGGATTGTTGCTACTTTATTTTCTTATATTAGGGGTGAAGCAAAAATATCTGTGGATTTAGCCAGATGAAGACAATATAATGGCTAATAAGAAGTGATACCTGAAGCTCTCCTGTAATGCTTAGGGACCCTTCATGATTTACATTCAAGAGCTGGAGAGCAGTGACTGCATATACTGCTCCTACAGAGGACCTGAAGGTGGTTCCCAGCATCCATATTGGGTGGCTCACAATTATTTGTAACTCCAACTCCGCAGTACCCAATGCCCTCCTCTGGCCTCTGTAGGCACCTGTACTCACATGTATACATTCCTCACAAAGACAAACACACATAATTAAAAATAAATCTTAAAAAATCGACATGCCAATCTGGACATGGGGATACTCTTTTGTAATCCTACCATTTGGGAATGGGGAGGCCGGAGGCCCTAGGTGTTCAATATTATCCTCAGTCACACAGCAAGTTTGAGAAGCCTTATGTAGACCAGGCTAGCCTCAAATTCATGGAAGGCCTACTTGCCTCTGCCTCCTAAGTGCTGGGATTAATGATGGTCTACCTCAAGCAGCTAAGACTGTTATATTTTATTTCATTGCTTTTTTGAAACAAGGTCTGTCTACACAGCCCTGGCTGTCTGGAATTTACTCTGTAAACTAGGCTGGCCTCAAACTCACAGAAATCCATCTGCCTCTGCCTCCCGAGTGCTGGGAAACCGAAAAAAAAAATGCTGTCTTCATAAAATGCTAGGATTACATGTCACTTGGTGGATGTAAAATCTCTGAAAATTTATGCAGATGTCAAAGAAAACAATAGAGGATTTTAAGGAATAAAGTAAAAATAACCCACAAAAAAGGAGGTCACAAGCTGGGGAGTCAGGGTGGTAGTGGTGCATTTGCCTGGCAAGTGGAGGTCTGTTTTTCTTTCTTTCTTTCTTTTTTTGGTTTTTTGAGACAGGGTTTCTCTGTGTAGCTTTGCACCTTTCCTGGGACTCACTTGGTAGCCCAGGCTGGCCTCGAACTCACAGAGATAGCTCAGGCTGGCCTCGAACTCACAGAGATCCGCCTGGCTCCGCCTCCCCAGTGCTGGGATTAAAGGCGTGTGCCACCACATCTGGCCTTTTTTTTTTTTTTTTTTTTTTTTTTTTAATACTAAGCCTGTAATTCTCAAGAAAAGGAAAACAGAAAGAAACCTGTTTTTCCCTTTTTTGAAGATGGATTTAGAAACTGTTCAGACCTCAGTGTCAGGAGTTCCCATCCCCAACCAGCTGCCTAGAACAATCTTCTTGCAAGCATCTTCGGAAAGTCCAGGCACATCTTCCTAGCAGTTGCCAGAGTGCTTTGTTGCAGGGGTGGTCTAGTTAGCAGCTACTCAGGCCTTCACAGGAGAACCGGACCAGGCTCAGACCTGCCTTGTCATCCCATGTGTGCCTCTGAAGCCTAGCTGACAGTATCCTGCAGGACTCAATTGGCATGCAGGCTAGGGGACCAAAGAGCAGAAGCTGCCCAAGTGCCTTCAGCTCTCCACTTCTCTCCGAGGCTAGGGCTCACTGTCCTCAGCATTAAACTGCTGAGGATGCCAACCACGGAAGCCTGGCAGACAGGGTGCCAGCTGGCTGAGTTCAGTGGAGATTAGGAGTGTAGTTGATGGATTTCAATTATTTTGTTTATTTTTTGTTTTTCAAGATAGATTTCTCTGTGTAGCCCTAGCTGTCCTGGAACTCACTCTGTAGACTAGGTTGGCCTCGAACTCAGAGATCTGTCTGCCTCTTCCTCCCAAGCGCTGGAATTAAAGGTGTGTGCCACCACTGCCTGTCCAATTTTTTCTTAACTCAGCAACTGAGAATTATGAGGCTTTCTGGGTTTTGGTTGTTGCTTTTTGTTTGTTTTGGTTTTTCGAGACAGGGTTTCTCTGTGTAGCTTTGGAGTCTGTCCTGGAACTCACTTTCTAGACCAGGCTGGCCTTGAACTCACAGAAATTCCTTCTGCCTCCTGAGTGCTGGGATTAAAGGCGTGCGCCACCACCGCCCGGTTCTGTTTTTGTTTTTAATAAGATGGTTTCTTCAACAAATTTTTGTAGTTACAGTGTGCACTGAATAGGACTGAGCTCTAGTATTTGTTTTCTTTTGTAACTTGTAACCTTACCAAAGTGTGCAGGCCTACCTCATTAGAACACAGAAACTGTGAACCATGTAGCCACAGGCACAGCACTGTTTTAAAGGTCATGTTTTGTTTTCCTTTTTTTTTTTTAACGTATTAGGGAAGAAAGTGAAATTCCATGTGGATATTTGTTGAAGTCCATTTTTTTTTGTCCAGACTTTAGGCTCTCAGAATATTTTTTCTTGTGTTTACTCATCATAATACTCTTAAGTTTTGTCCAGAGTTCCTTGACGTCGTTGGATACACCCACAGATTTAGAGCTTCCTTAACTGCTTGCAGAGATGTCTTGCTTACCAGCCTCCACACTTCTATTCGCTCATGTCTCTATTTGCTGATGAAACCTTTCTTGTTTCTTACACAGGTGTGAAGCTGTCTTTGGACTGCTGAAATACTGCTTCCTAGCCTCCCTAGCCCAAGGAAGGAAGCGCGGCTTCCCTCCTTTGGCCTCAGCCCCTCTCTCTCCAGGGGGCTGAACCCACAGCTGGGTTCCTCTCACTTTTTATAAAAATCGAGACAGATTCTATACCGCCCCCCCCCACACACACTCCCACCGCCCCCCAGGGTTTCTCTGTGTAGCCCCGGCTGTCCTGGAACTCGCTCTGTAGAAGGCCAGCCTGCCACACCTCGCTTTTGACACATCTCTTTTTAAGGTTCACGTTGAACTTCATTTAGGTCTGCTTTTCCGGTCCCAAACCGTTTGGGAACGTCATCCGGATCACCCCAACCACCACGGCGGACTCGCTTCGGTCATCTTCGGGTTCCGATTTCCACGAGGGCCACCAGCTCTGCAGGTAGACCGGGTCTCTCGGCCGACGTCCATTCACGCGCACCTCCCCCGAAGCATGACTGCACAGGGCGGCTGGCCCGCAGCCCATCCATTCCCTCGGCCAACGGATACCCACGTCGGACGACACGGAGGCGACGACGACGTGGGACAATGCCACGGGCCCCGGCGCCACCCATCCCGGCCGGAACCTCCTCCTCCTCCTCCTCCGCGCTCGGCGCGCCCACGCACGTCAGCGTCCCAGCGACGGGAGCCGCCGGCGGCCGGCGCGGCGGGCGCATGCGCGGTGGGCGGGGTCACGGGCGGCTCGGGGCGCTGCCATCTGTTGCGCCGCCCTCGGGAGCCGGCAGATCCGGGTCTCGTGGCTAGGAGTGACGTGGTCTGTGGAATCCAAACAGAGGGGGAGGAGGAGGAGGCCGGCGGCCAGCAGCAGCAGCGGCAGCGACAGCGGCGTCCGGAACGCTCCCGGCTGCCACCCTCCCCGCCCGCCGCTTGTTTGGGCGGGTGAGTGTCCCCCCCTCTGGCCCACCGCCCTCCTCGGCGACCCGTCTTCGTCGCGTCGCCGCTTCTGCGCCCGCGCGCTCCCGGGGACCGCTGCGGCAGAGAGGGCAGCCCCGGCTGGGCGCTGCACCCAGGGGTGCCCGCGGCCGCCGGCTGGGCAGCCAGCCTGCAGCCGGGCGGGACGGGCACCCGCAGTCCGGGTGCTGTCACTTGGAGGGCCTGCTTAGGCAGCGTGGGCGTGCAGGGGACTCGGGGGGAGAGTCGCCCCGAAAGCCGGGCGGTGGCGTTTGCCTGGTGGGTCCGATGAAGTCACCCGGACGCGGCCCTTTGTTGCGATGTGTGTGATAGCTGCCATCCTGAAAGCCAGAGCTCTTTTCTTTCCTTTTTTTTTTTTTTAAGCCTCCATTGTGTTGCGGATTTAAAAGATTCCCCTTCTCTGTTGGTTCTGTATGGGGAGCTGGGGCTGAAAACGAGCAGGTTAGCAGCCCCGTTATTGGAAGGAATGCAGGGCGATAGCCTGGCGATGGTTTTGAGAGCCGTGTCGCTGCTTAAAGCCGAAGTTTTCCGAAGTGGCTGTTTAAACGTTAGGATTTTGGCCAAGATAATACTTGCTAACCGTAGAGAGGCGGCAGGATGTTTTTAGTTGCCCCAGTTGGAAAGGCTGAGAATGTGGCCTTAATGGAATGCCTCGGGTTTGCATCTGGAGCGGTGGATGAGCTCCAGGAAGCATTTATACCTGCATTTGTAGAAGAGACCCTGCGGTTTTTGTGCTGTCTTGTCAAAAACTGCTAGCAGAAATTCGTACAAGAATTTGGAAAAGCCTACAATTTCCCGAGTGTTTAGTCTGGAGACGCTTAGGAGGCATTCTCGCTGCCCTGTGTCTGATGTGGAGGTTGGGAGAAGCAGCTGCGTGCTCCTGCTTCAGGTGACTCACTGCTCACGCAGATTCCTTTAGTGTAGTCGCCCACCCTCTGCCACCCTCTGCCCTCCGTACTCAGACCAGAAACCCAACTCGGGTGTCCCAACGTGGTTTAGAAGGGGGCATCTTCTCCTTTCCAAGATCCTTAATTGAAGTGTTTCTGTGGTAAGCAGCAGGAAAGAACGACAGAAAATGTGAGACTGATTGCTTTCCATCAAATATGGGAAGAATTCTTAGGGACTTAGATTCCTTCTTTGAAGGGTGTGCCCTTGGGCAGTAACTGACCTGTTAGCAAATGTAAGGTCATGGATTTTTTTCCCTTTCCTTTTTACCATACTTGAAATCCCGTTGATATAGACAAAGGAATTTTTTTTTTGCACTTCCCCCTTTTTAGCTTAAAAAAAAAACCTTTTTACTATCCTAAAACAATATTTTTGCTTGTACAAAATGTTCTTTTGATGATTGGAGAAAATGTTGATAGAAGTACATGAGGAGAAAAAAAATAATAATCCTGCCACTCAACTTGCCAGGGGTTGTTAGTTTATATCCTTCCAGATATTTTTGCATTTGTTTTATAAAAATATGATATCATACTGCATTTTTTTTTCTCGAGACAGGGTTTCACTGTGTAGCCCTGGCTGTTCTAGAACTCACTCTGTAGATCAGGCTGGCCTCGAACTCACAGAAATCCACCTGCCTCTATCTCTCCAGTGCTGGGATTAAAGGTATGCGCCATCATTGCCCGGCTGCATTTGTTTTTTAGAAATAAATTTTATTTCTTTTTATTTAATGTGTATGGGTATTTTGCCTGTATGTGTGTCTGTGCGCCTGTGCATTCCTGGGTGCCCCAGGGAGGTGTTGAATTCCTAGGATTGGAGTTACCGTGTGGGTGCTTGGAACCGAACCCAGGTCCTCTGCAAGAGCAGCTTAATGCTATAACTCTGGAGCTATTTCTCCCATGCATTTGATTTTTTTGCTGTGGGCTTAAAATGCTTACTGGCACTTTTTCTTTCTTTCTTTTTCGAGACAGGGTTTCTCTGTGTAGTTTTGGTGCCTGTCCTGGAACTCGCTCTGTAGACCAGGCTGGCCTGGAACTCACAGAGATCCACCTGCTTCTGCCTCCTGAGTGCTGGGATTAAAGGGGTGCAATACTACCACCTGGCTAGTGTGTATTTTTTTTTTAACGATCTGCTGCCACCACCCAGCAACAATAGCTATTCATGCCCTAATTTTGAAAGTTTTTCTCCCGTGTCTCTTGGGTGATACTGTGAGATTTAAGAAATCAATAGACATTGTATGACGTGTGAGGCTTAGATTGTTAAATTCTCAAGGCAGCAAGTGCAATGTGGAATTTGAGAAAAGTCTTATTTAGTAGTTCCAGTCAGGTAAATTTAGGTATAATCCTTAGTTACACCATGCTCCAAATGAAGAGTAGCAGTTATCACCCCAGCAATGAGGCCCTGGAGGGATTTACTTTACTTAGGGCACTTAATGTACTTTATTAGCATTGGGGTATGTGCCATTTATTTGGTACAGCATTTTTGTTGTTGTTTGTTTTTTAACCACTGACACTAAAGGAGAATGCTCTCTCCAGCCCAGCTTCAAAGGCTAAGTACCATGAAGTATCCTAAATCTGCTAATACCAGTTTGGGCTGATGTCTCATAAGCTTTCCTAAGACCTATAAATCTCAATTGTCACTCATTATCTCCTGAGTAATTAATCCCAGATGCTTACTACCCTCTGACTTGGTTCTTTTCTCTTTAATTTTTACATGTCTTTTTTCCACAAAATTTTGACATTTGTGAAATGTGCCCGTGTGTGTGTGTGTGTGTGTGTGTGTGTGTGTGTGTGTGTGTGCGCGCGCGCGCGCGCGCGCCACAGGAAGACGGTACTGGACTCCCTAGTGCTGGAGTTGGAAGGGGTTTTGAGTTTGCTTATGAGCTAATGCCAGACAAGGACTAGGAACCAAACGGGGGTCCTTCGGACAAGTAGCAAGTGCTCTTAATGAGCCCTCTCTCCAGCCCCCATAGTTAAAAGAATTACAGCACTCAGTGTGCATTCTTTCCCCATCCCTGTGCTCCCATCCTTGCTAGGCTGTCACTATCTCTTTCCTGCTCAACTGAAGTCACTGCCTGGCTTCTCTCCAACTTTGGCTGCTTAGTGTGCCTTTCTCCCATCACAACCTAAGAGATCCTTTAAAATGCAGATTAGATTGTCACACACGCGCACGATCTTGAAAGTCTCCCATTCAGAGTAAAACCCTAGCCTGGTGTGGTGGCATACACCTTTAACCCAGCACTCTCGGAGGAGGCAGAGGCAGGTGGATGTCTTGAGCTGGAGGCCAGCCTGGTATCAGGCTCGCTAGGCACTTCCTGCTCGCTCACCTTTGCCTTTGTCTCTGACCATGCTTGTGTGTCTGTGTTCTCCTCAGTCCTGTACTCTGGAGTCTGACCACATCAGTATATTCCTGCTTTCTGTTCCTTTTTCTGGTGTCTGTCTGATGCCCGTATTTGCGCTGTCTTAAGATCTTTGTTCTTCTGTACCCCGTGGCTTCAGTATTCTCCCAGTCTGCTCTGGCCAATTCATTTCTGTCGTTCAGGTTACAGTTCAGATGCTGGCTTTTCAAATAAATTACCCCACTTCTCTATTTTTTATTTTATTCACAGCATTTACCACTACAGGGATTGCCTTAATTTTTCTGCTTCAAACTGGATGGCGGTGTCGCATGCCATTAATCCCAGCACTCGGGAGGCAGAGGCAGGCGGATCTCTGTGAGTTGGAGGCCAGCCTGGTCTACAGAGAGAAACTCTGTCTCGGGGAAAAATTCTGCATATGTTGACAGTTCTTGAGAATGGTATAATAGGAACTCTGTGACTGATGGTTGAATGAACTTGGGGACATATCTGTGCTCCTCTTTAGGCCTTTTCTTTCTCAGAAGACTAATGTCCAGCAGCTTCCTGTAGGACAGTTTTAATTCTGTTTACTAATCCTTGGTGATTGGGTCAGAGAACACACCCTCATTCTATTTTAGACCTATGGAACCTTGGAGAGGTGGGTTCCCAGAATCTGTATTCTCCCCAGTCCACTTTTTTTTTTTCCTTTTTTGGTCTTTCTTTCTTTCTTTTTTTTTTTAAAGATTTATTTATTTATTACATATACAGTGTTCTGCCTGCACGTATGCCTGAATGCCAGAAGAGGGCACCAGATCTCATTATAGATGGTTGTGAGTCACCATGTGGTTGCTGGGAATTGAACTCAGGACCTCTGGAGGAACAGCCAGTGCTCTTAATCTCTGAACCATCTCTCCAGCCCCCTTTTTTGGTCTTTCAAGACAAGAGTTTCTCTGTAGTTTTGAAGCCCATCCTGGAACTTACTCTGTAGACCAGGCTGGCCTTGAACTCACAGATCCATCTGTCTCTGCCTCCCCAGTGCTGGGATTAAAGGTGTTCACCACCATCGCCTGGCTTCAATTCACTTTAAAAAAAAAAAATTTATTTACTTTTACTTTATGTGCACTGGTGTTTTATCTGCATGTATGTCTGTGTGAAGGTGTTAGATCTTGGAGTTATAGACAGCTGTTAGCTGCCATGTGAGTGCTGGGAATTGAACCTCGGTCCTCTGGGTTAAAAAAGTCAGTGCTCTTTACCACTGAGCCATTTCTCCAGCCCCCCAGTTCACTTTTTTGTGGTGCTGCACATTGAACCCTGGCCTTTGTGTGTGGTGGGTATGCACCCTGCCCCTGAATTGCACCCCAGACCTTGGCTATAACTTTCTGTTGTGTTTTGTGGAGGGGTTTTATGTAGCCTGAAACTGCCCTGGAGTCCGGCTTGAGCTTCTGACCCTACTTCTTCCACCAGACTTTGGTCTTCTGAGGCGGTGTCTTGGCTCCAGAGCTAGGGCTGGCCTTGGTTGACTAGACATCTTCCTGTCTCTTTCCCCAGAGGCTTCCCCAGCATAATTACGGACATGAGTCGCCACACCCAGCTCCAAATTTGCACTTTCAACAAACTCTGGGTGATTTCATTTCACATTAAAGTTTGAGAATGTTCCTTGATTTTTTTTTTAAATGTCTCTTTTTCTGGA